CTGATTTTATAGTAAGAATGTTTCTCTTAACATCACTTTCAGTAAAATGACTAAAGAACAATTGTGGAATATTAGGAGGGGATAAAGCTGAAAGTTGATTAAGAGTCTGTTGCTTAATAGTACTATCCATGGTACTTGAAGTGGAGAAATGCTTGTTAAGCTCGTTTAAATTAAGATTATTAGGGTTTACGCTTTGGCGTGCTTTTCCCACTCCTAAAGATTTCAGAAATGTCCAAACTTTGGATGAGTCTTCTTCCTCTACCACAGATGTATAGATATGGCGTCGTTGATTATCTCTACATACTCTGTTACAGTGATTCCGAGCGTTAGTATATTTGAGACGGTTTTTTTCATTGCTATTGACCCGATACTTCATTTTCGCAGCGTTCTTTTTTTGTTGCAATTTTTTAATTTCTTGAGTAAGCCACGGGGCAGGGAGATGCTTTATTCGTACAGGTCGTATGGGAGCATACTAATACTTATTCTTTTGTAGGATATAAGCTTAAAATGAATATAAAGAAATATTTAAAATAAAGGATTTTTCTTCATGCAAAAACCCCTTGGCCATGTTTACCTATTGTAAGATATTTAAAACGTTTCGCTGCGTTGCAGACCACTTCTTTCTCGATTTCAACATATTATGTTTGCTCAAGAACAGACGTTTCTTCCTCTTCACCCTATCTGGTGATGAGCGAAGGAGAATGTGCTAAATATTGTAGGTAATAGTGCATTCGATATGGATTAGGCCTACTGGGATAGGATACTACGATAAAAAACGCGCCACTTAGTCTACCTCAAAGTGATGTGGAAATTAGTTTTTTTAGCCAAAATGCAAGTTGAAGAACACTTTGCAGCGAATGTTATGAACGCCAAAACTATTGATTTTACAAAAAAATGTTATTACATAAATTGTAGGAAATTTTTCGAGTTTCATTTTGTATACAAATGTTTTTACCGGAAAATTAGTCGGAAAGGAAATATTGTCAAAAAACTGCCAGCTTTGGCCATTTTCCCAATAAGCGACGCGAGCGGCAAAGATACGATGTGGCAAAATTGAAATTTGGATAGAGCACATCGAAGTCTATAAAATCACCAATTTTCAATACTCGCGGAAAACTTTCCAGACAAAATTACCAAATGACGGGGCTATTAAGGGGACTCTTAGACAGTCTAATTGAATATCTGTGCCAAACATGGCGAAATTCGGTTTCGGGTTTTCGGAAGTTCACCCATACTAGTTGATGAACTTTATTTTTCTATTACTGAATGAAGCGTAATCATATATTTTCAAATTGCCGTACTATTAAGTAGTAATAAATCATGCCGAGACATCGTGATAAATAATGAAGTTTAAATAATTATTAATCAGTAAGCCCAATTCGACTTATCATTATAAATAGTGCCTTATCACTTATCATCTTATCCTTAATCACTTGGACCATAACACATATATTGCTACGCATGCTATTTAAAGAAATTGTAAAGAATTACCTTTTTTCTGCCTGAATCTTCACTTCTCAACTACTAGGAAAAAATAAGGTTTGTATGGAAGCGCGTAGAACGAAAAGCTCAAGCTGTATCTTTAAATTTAGCGACTAATTGAAATGAAATATTTTATTTCCTTTCTTAGTACCTAGTTACCACTTATACTGAAAATCACTAAGGAAGCCTAGAATTATAAATTAAATAATAAATACAGAAATATTGTTAGGAAATGTTGCTCGCTATGACGAAGTGTCTATTCGTCCAATAATTCGGATGAATAAAAAATGTATTATTTATTCATCTGACTATATATCGCCGGTTTGTCGGTTTGTTGTGTTTGTAAGTCACTGACCACTGCAACTTTTATGTGCTGCTATAAAAAACTCTTGTCTGTCTGCTTGTCTGTTATCGCATCATAGAAAACCCACTGGACGACTGGACTTTTGACGAAATTTGGTATAATGATAGCTGGTTATCCGGGTCAACATATAGGATACTTTTTATTGCGGGATATTAATATAATTCTCATCTCTGAGAAATCTATACTAAACGTTAAAACGTAAGTAGGGACGAGCGAAGCGATGGTGAGTCGCTAATACTATAATAAAATAAACAATTTTTTTTCCACATTTACCGTGAACTGTGATTTTCAATAGTTTAAGGTTAAGGCTATTAAAATAGAAGACCACTTTACTATACTAGGTAAAATATTTACGTGATGATGAAGTAGGTATGTTCATTATCTTAATTACCTTTTAACTTTTTGATTAATAGGTCAGTTATTTGTCAATTTGTTTGTTAAAAATCAATTCTACATTTTTTTTATCTTTATGTTTCTTAGTATTATTTTAAACTTACTCATGGAACTTACAATATCTAGGAGTTAAGCAGCGAGAAAGGCGCCTCGGGGCATCCTTCGCGCGAGTGATCCAGGGGTGAAGACAAGATTTATCCCAATTAAAATCTTTTTTCCCTCTTAGAAAACCTTTTAAAATTTAAAAATATCTTCAGGGCTTGAAAGATTCCGACCACGAAAAATAACATCCAACGAAGTTGAGTTTGTTTGGATTAGTTTATGATAATTTGCCAGCTTCGAGATTCTATTGATCAAATTAGAAGTTTATGAAAAATAGAATGAATATGAAATAATTACGACAGTTATTTGTTTTATACTCGGAGATGTAATTAAAGTTATGGTGGTGCTACTAAAACTTTTAACAGAATAATGTTAAATGGTTTACCCGCTTAGGCAAATCCTTCTAATTTGCAGCAATATAAGAATTTATTTTAATTACTTTCTACTCCGCGAAAAATATTTTTTTAATAAAAACTAGTCAATTCAGATGAATTTTGTGTAGAAACACGAACTTAACCCTAAGTAATTCTGACTCCAACATATTTTTTTACTATGTAGACAAAGATTTTACCTATACATCTCTTGTATAATTATGTGTGCTTATCGAGCTTATTATTTTTGCTTAATTTTATTTTAGTAAGTAATAGGTATAATCTCTGACTTTACCTCATAGTAAAATACTAATAATTTGATATTTTCATAAGTGTTCGAGACATTAAATATTGCTACTTAATAGTCACCTACACATGAATATATTTAAATTATTATTAAAGTAGTACTTTTATTTTCAAATGAATATAATATCAGTAAAGGGGAAGAAAGAAAGGTCTTTACCACACATATATCTTAATATTGCTCTACATTACGAGTACCCGAGTATTTTTAAATCAATACGGCTTAGGCGGGCGGCGCTCGCATAAATGCGAAGACGGTGTGTGGAAAAGCACTGATAGCGCCTTAGAAATACACTGTCGGCCTTAAAAGCTTTTACATTTCTATCGGAAATAATACAATGTTATACCCTGTCGAGGTCGGAACTATGCAAAAATATTCCATTTTTCTTTGCAAGTCTAATATTTTTGAATTGTTCGGGTGGTTTGGACCGCGTCTAGGGAGCGCTTATGGGGCCTTAAGCTCGGATATTCACGGCTCGAATACTTTATTCAAGGTTAATTCTAATAGTCCATGACGTGTTGAATTTTATATTTGCTGTTTATATTTGCTTCCCACTCTGAGGCGATGCAGTGGTGCAAAATCATTTTTATAAGATTAAAATTCTAGAATATTTTTGACGTATATTTCGATCGATATTTTTAAGTATACTTTGTTAGCTAGGTTCATCTAGTTGATAGGTTTGTGAAAAGTTCAGATAAAAGACGTTTTTTAAAAATGTCGTTTTTACAGGAAATATTTGATATGAAATTATTTGGTAATAAGCTCGTAAGAAACTTATTAAATGTACATTGTACGTACCTACTACGTATTACACATGTGATATTTGTTACACAATACCGTGTAAATCTTTAAAGACCTGCTTCTGTATAAAATGGTCAGAATATGTCATCCAAAAAGGAGTAGGTTCTATGTCCGCCTGTAGGTATTTTTTATGTATACCGGTTTCTCGGAGACAGCTTGACCGATATAGTTAGCTTAAATTGTATTCTAGGTAAATCCCGTGGTGGTCCCATAGAATTTTCTTTCACTTAGAGTAGATTATAACGTTTTGGAGAAAATCAGAAAAAAACATGAAATTAGCAAATTAAGTAGGTAAGTGTATTATAAACAGATCTAATAAGTATTTTTAATAACTTTCATATTAACTTGAAACTTTGCAAGTGTTTGTATTTTCGATAAAAGTAGGTACAGTAATTTGGAATCATCTGTTGATCTGATGGTGAAGCCAGAATGTGGGTATTAGAACTCTATAATAGCTTCCAGAAAATAAATGAAATTTGTGCCTATTTGGTTTAATTTGACAATCTCAATACATTAGACTTAGATTGTAGAGTCTGATTTTAGTGTTACTAATAAAAGAGAGTTTATTAGGTGGATAGTTTATATAGTATAAAAATTGGCATCAAACTAAACTAAATGGCTTAAGTGAATATTTTATTAAAATAGGTAGGTACTTTCTTTTTCCGCTTCTACTACGTATACAGTACCTAATAGTGGAAAATAAAAACTTAAAAAATTAAAAAATTAAATTAAAACCATCTTCCAGAGACTAAGAAGTAAAACATAAGTGAACCGATGCAGCAAAGCAAATCTGTTTCGATATGTGTATGTAAATGTAATGCATCACAAATTGATACATAATATTTTAACTATATTTAGTCTAGATTTTTCTTTTGTTCTATCATGTACCTACAAATGTAAGAATGTATACTCTGTTAGCTATCTTAGTAACATTACAATGATATAATACTCTAATTTGATATCATTAACCTTAACTGATTATAGAGCCAAAAGGCGCAATAGAATAAGGATAGTGGAATCCTTCAATATTTGCTAATAAAATCTTCGAGTTGGATAGTTTTTATGAATTATCTTATGGTTTTAAATATTTTTTTTAGTTTGCGAAAATTATAATGTGTAGAAGTTGTTGAAGTATCAATTTTAATCGACTAAATATTAAAGAATGTATAAATTTTCATAACAGGCGTAGGCAGTGCAGTGTCGCAGGCTGGGGGCTACGCGGGGCTGTACGGCGGCTACGCGGCGGCGGCTCTGGCGGGACTCTCGGGACCGCCGCCTAAGCGCAAGCGACGACATCGCACCATCTTCACAGAGGAGCAGCTGGAACAACTCGAGAGTACCTTCGACAAAACCCACTACCCTGATGTAGTACTAAGAGAACAACTGGCGTTGCGTGTCGATTTGAAGGAGGAGCGCGTTGAGGTATTTACTATTTACACTTATTCAAAAAATTGTTTATCACCCTTTAAGGGGCTCAATTTATAAAAACACTTTTTTTATTGATGCAGTTATCGAAGTCGTACATAACCGATATGTATTCCGTATTAATTGAAAAATTATTCTTTAAATATTTGTCGCTGGCTGTACAGCTACATAAGCTGTGACTCGCATAAAAACCTTCTCCATTGAAAATTTTTGTGTGTCATAATTGTAAAGCAATCTGTGAAAAAAATTCGTGATTTACGATGTAACTTATCTACATTTATCTTACGTCTAATAGTAAATATTTATATATATTGACACATCTTTTACTTCCACCTGGTGGGATAGTTGGCTGGCGTCGCCTTTAGAAGCGCATATTTTATAGTATTCATGGTTCTCAAGGGTTCTTCTTCCCATCGAGGGTCTCCACCACTAACTACAACCCCGTATTACATTGGCGCTCCAATTTGTGGCCTCGATCATTACACTATACAGTATATCTATTTATGTATATAATTTTGAGTCTTTATATTATTACATACATCTATTAATGTGTATATTACTCTGCCGCCTTCCATTATTATAAAGCAAACGATAATATCGCTTTTGCGATTAATATTTTAATCAAATGACTCCTTTTAGGTACAGTTGGAATAAATGGTCGACGATTGCGATTATAAGGAAAAATAACAATAGCTTTTTAAGGTCACAAATATTAATCCACTGAATGATTAAACAATTATATTAAATCTACTTAACAATACTGAATAAAATAGTATTTTTTGTTTGCGTCGTACTTTTAATAGAATAACTGTAGGTATGTTTCCTTCAAGGCGCGGGATGATTGAAAAATTATAGAAATTTTTTACCATTTGTTTTTATAATATTTATTCTTCTGTCTTAATGAATTTTTAAAATTGTAATGAGCTTTACATATAAGTAATACAAATAGATACCTAATTAACCTTTTCTATATATTTTCTTACTATACTTTTTGGTTTTAGTCAAAGAGTCAAAATAAAAAATGATAATAAAATATAAGCTATCCGTCCGGATACATAAAAGTACTATCCGTTGAATAGGTACCTGTTAGTTAACTACTAAAAATTGTTGTACAAAAATGTACGTGAAATTCTGCCCTAACAACACGAGGGCGGATCGTATAATAATAATGTTTCATGGTGCTAGTTTATCGTTTAGTCAATCATATTACGTAGTCTGCTTTCTTTATTGACTGCTAATAAGGTGGAAATGGTTAATAATAATAATAATTATTATTAATAGAGCACATTTATTTAAAAAGGGATCTAAATAATTTACCATTTAAATAGGTTGCAAATAAACAAATCATATATTATAAACAATACAATGTCGAGTAATGGTCTTAATAGCAGCTATAGGATTACATTGGCATGGCGGAAAGTTTAGAGAGGCAAAGGGGTCTTCTAGTCAATAGAGCTGACGCGACACTTTGTGTGCTAACATAATGTGGGTGGCCCACTACTCAAAAAATCAAATCTTGTTTAAAGTACATATTCTTCTTTAGTACCTAGTAATCTTAATTTTTTACTGAGATTTTATTTACTTCTATGGTCATAAATTTTAAATGTTGTGATAGGCGTTTAATGCATTTTATAAATAGTGTTCTCATTACAAATATTTTATTATATTTAAACAATACATTTTATTATCTGTAAATAAAACAGGCATTAAATCAACCTTAATACTTTTTACATGATGTTTATGTTTACAACATTTTCGATCACTATATAAATTAAAAAACGTATCTACATGTTCAATCAACCTTACTAGATAAAAAAGATAGAGTTTTACAACTATGACCGCTGGTTTCTAGTACCTTAAGTAAACTGTTACACCATTATTTGTGCAGCTTAACTCGCCGGTCAGAATTCGGTTACCGGCTGTTAGCACGAGATGTTTGCGGGCTACCGGTGTTGGTGAGTGGTGGAGTGTGTGTCATCCACTCCAGTGTGCCTCCGCCACCCAGACAGCGATTCGTCACATGTTTACATGGCCGCATTTTTCTATAACATCGCGTTACGCAAAATATACTGTGTTTTTGCTCCCCCGATTTTCTCTCTTCTCCAAAGCTCTATAGGAATAAAATCATTGAAATTATATAGGTAGGTACCTATATCTAGGTACATTTTGCCATAGTGACATATTTGTTTATATTTTGTATGATATATCCCACTATTATAATAAGAGGTTTTTCAAATCAAAGTGATTTAAAAGATCATTCTGATAGAATTAATTTAAATGATTTTATACGGCTTCGTGTCAAGAAGTAATGGGTGACATGAAAAATATACTAAGTGTAAACTTTTTATTAAAGAATCCATACTAAATCACCGCGAGTCGAGCGGTTGTTGAAAATTTTACCTCGGGGCAAATAAAAAGGGATGTTCAGTGGGTGAGACGGCGCCGCGAAAATTAATCGGAGTTAATTAAATTTGATTTATTTATGCTAGCCCGAGCTGAGGGTGCCGAAAACGATAAAAGTACAGCAATCAGGCTGATGAGGGTCACTTATAAGGCTTTTTCTTTGGATAACAGTGTTTTTCCGATTTGCCTCACTCGCGACTTGATTAATCGATAAAAGATATTCTTATTATGAAGCCCTTAAGTTTCTTGTTACAAAAGTTCAAGATTTATAATTAACTGACCTATTTATATTATTACATAGCAAATCGTTCAGTCAAGTCAAGTCTACGTGATGGATATATGGTATAGTATGTACTTGATAGGTATAGTTGTGATACGTACATATGCAGGATGCAACAAATGTATGGACATTGAACAAAAGTACTTTAAATATTTTATTTGTCAAGTTTTACTCCAAAGAAACATTCCTTAATTTAAAAAAAAATATGTTTATAACTGCATTTTTGAACCGACTTCCTCAAGAAGGAGGAGGTTCTCAATTCGGCTGTATGTTTTTTTTATGTTTGTTACCTCAGAACTCCGTCATTTTTTAACCGATTTAGATATTTTTTGTTTTATTTGAAAGTGTATACTTCCAGATTGGACCCATTTAAATTTAAAGAAAAAAATACCACCCCTAAGGGTGGGAAAATGGCTAATGATGAATTTAAACTACTTCTAATTTTTATATTGACTTGAAACTTTGCAAGTGTGTCTATTTCTGTTGATAGTGCAGTGTTTCGGTATCGTTGACCTGATCTGACGTAAGGCCAGAAGGTGGATAGGTGGAACTCTTCAACGGCTAATAGTAGATACTTTGAGTTTGGGCTTATTTTGTTTGATTTGACAAGCCTAACACGTTAGAATCGGATTTTAGAGCCAGAATTTTTAGTGTTACTAATAAAAGTGAATTTTAATTTGTCAGTCTTCATATTAAAATTAGCATCAAAGTAACTTAAACGGTTTAAGCAAATATTTTATTAAAATACTTTATTCTCACTTTGCTACTACTATGTCTACACTAAAAAGGGAAAAATAATAACTTTTTAACAAAAAAATTAAATCAATTTCAAAAAAAGCACTAAAAAGTATAAAATAACTGATTGGTAGTTTTCATTTACTATACATACCTAATCAAATACATTCGAAGTCGGTGCCAGCCTATACTAAGCAAAACACACCGACTTTGAAAATATCTGATTAGAAATCTATAGTAAATGAAAACTTCCAATCAGTTATGTTCACTTTTTAGTGTTTTTTTTGAACTGTTTTTTTAAGTTTTTTTTCTGGCTTGCGTAAGCATGAACATATATCAAACTTTCGTGCTCAAAATTCAAAATTTAAAATATTTTATTCAGCATTAAATTATTACAATTTTTTACTGAACGTCATGAGTCTACTACCAGTTTGGAAAGAAGTAACCTCAGACCTGAGAAGAACTGGCGAAAGAAACTCAGCGGGACTAATATTAACTTGTTATCTTTTTTAAAGTAAAATTAGAATTTACAATATTTCTATCAAGTTGAAGTAGCCTAGAGGCGATCATTTCATTCCCAAGGTGTGCCATCTCCTATAAAATCATTTATTGTATAATAGCCTTTAGCACACAAACGTTCTTTAACATTTTTTTGAATTTGGCGATAGAAGCCTTTTGAACATTTTCTGGGATCCTGTTGTACAAGCGTATACATTGTCCATAAAAAGAATTACTAACTCTGTGTAGACGAGTCACAGGCATTACAAGTTTGTGTTTGTTCCTAGTATTAATGGTATGCATGTCACACTTCTTGGAAATTCGTGTATATTTTTACGGACATACATAACATTTTCGTACACGTACTGAGAAGCAACAGTCAATATATTTATTTCTTTAAACTCTTAACTCTAACTCTTAATGACACTTTAAGACCTAAACTATAAATTGCACGTATAGCTCTTTTCTGCAGGACAAAAATCGTATTAATAGCAGCTGCATTTCCCCATAGTAAGATACCATAGGACATAATACTATGAAAATAATTAAAATATACTATGCGAGCTGTATCTACATCAATAAGAAGTCTTATTTTTTTACCGCGAACGCTGCAGAGCTGAGTCTACTCGCTAACCCCTCAATATGAGGGCCCCACTGCAATTTCGAATCTATGATAATACCTAGGAATTTAGTGGACTCTACAGGTTTTAACACTTCGCCATTTAATATAACACCATTATCAACAAGTTTGACATTAGGTGTTGAGAATTTTATTAATTTTGTCTTTTTATTATTTAATAATAAATTATTTGAATCAAACCAATAGACAACCTCAACTTAAATAGCTCCCAATCCGCCTTCGCCGTGATATGCACATCTTTTGGTTTCGCTTCTTTCAGGTTCCTCCCTAGGTACGTTTTGACGTTTAGTATGGAATATATTTTTTATCAATTTTTTTTCGTGATTTTTTTCGATGTTTTAATACTTATTTTGGTATTTGGTGTGAACAAAAATCCAACAAAATAAAGTATCTTCTTAATATATTCTTAATGACCCTAATTCTCTTTCATACCTCCGTTTT